TTCGAGGGTCAAATCAAGCGAGACTGAGTGTGTGTGTGTGTGTGTGTCTGTTTGTCTGTTTGTCTGTTTGTCTGTTTGTCTGTTTGTCTGTTTGTCTGTCTGTCTGTCTGTCTGTCTGTCTGTCTGCCTGTCTCTGTCTGTCTGTCTGTCTGTCTGTCTGTCTGTCTGTCTGTCTGTCTGTCTGTCTGTCTCTCTGTCCGTGTGTGTTTGCATATGTGTGCATATGTGTGTGTGTGTGCGTGCTGCAGGAATTCAGAGCACCGAGAAGAGCATTGACAGCCAAGTCTTGTCAATGTCGCTACCAGCAATATAGCTAGGTATAGTTACTGTTGCCCGCGTACTTCTCAAAATAAGTTCGAGGTCACGGTGATCAATGCTGTGGATATCAGAAGCCCAGTAGCCTTTATACTAACCTTTACTAATAGCAACCTGGAGGTGACAAGCTTAAATGTCTTTCTGCGGCAAAGCTGCGATACAGATGGCCCTGCCGCCATCTTGCCGAATCCTGAATCAGAATCATCTGCCCGAGGTGTACAAGGGATTAGGGCCTAGGCTGCGCAACATCTACGGCAATGCAACTGGAACTGCTGCATCCATCCTCCAAAGCATGCATTTTACAGGCCCGACGCGCTTCAACAACACAGCCAGATAGACAGTCGCCCAGCCAGCAACACAGCACTGCCGAGCCCAGCACCTTTGCCTTTTCCGCCCTGTCAAGCTGTCGGGCTATACTATATTACTATACTAACTCTTACTCGGAATTGCAAAATGAATATCCTATAAGCATACCATAACATCCTAGAATAGACAGAAAATATACACAAGCTCAAATTTCACAGTGTTTGCAAGCCATGCATCTGACAGAGCTCCGGCATGACGTATTCGCCCAGGCCACAATGCACAAAGGAGCCCATAAACCGGCTCAACTCGATATTACCCTAACTAATACCCTAAACCCGAAACCCGAAAGCTCTGCAGCCTAAAACCCTGAAACCCTAAAACCCTAAACCCTACACCCCTAAACCCCTAAAGCCCTAACCCCTAATCCCCTGCACCCGTAAACACCCCTGAAACCCAAAACCAGGCGGCCCAACGAGACACTCAGAAAGGCCCACGCCCAGCCCCCTACGGTTTAGGGTTTGGGGTTTAGGGTTTAGGGCAGCCCAAGCTGCCATAGGATTTTAATAATACAAAATGTTGTAGAACATTATCGTCCATTACGATCGGCTATAACCTGTTATATTACAGTATGTTTCAGTATTTTTGGAGGATGTTGATACAGTATGTCATAGTCTTTATAATAATCGTATACTATATTCGAAAAGCAATATAGTATATCCCAGTGATCTAAGCGTGGCAGGCCTTGCCTTCTTCCCCTTGCCTTTGTCTCCAAGCCTTGGTAAAACACAGGAGGCTGGAAGAGTTGAGAATTGATGTGGTAGACTGTATATATATATATGTATATATATATACACATACATACATGCACACATACATTCATTCATACATATATATATAATATTATGAAACACATTGTGAAACATAGCATGAAACATACAATAAACATATTATGACACTCTCTATATATATATATATTGATTGCACACTTACAGATTTAGGTATACATATAGATAAAGATATAGCTGTAGATTTAGAGATATAGAGCTGCAGAGATATACAAATGTAAATATATATATATAGATATAGATATAGAAACAGATACATGTATATATATATATACATATGCCTCTATGAATAAATATATATATATACATACATATAAATTTATTTAGATAGAGATATATACATATACATATATATATATGTACATATACACACACGAGTCTTTTTATTTTATGTAGATGCGCAGATCCAAACTTCGCAGGTTCTTCAGTGTGCCTTTGCACAGCCGATGCCACCTGCCCCAAACAAAAATCCACCGACTCGCTCAACAGCACCACCTCCTGGACGAGCATCTCGCCATCGTCCAGGGCCCCAGGGTTAAAAAAAGTGGCGAACCTGCGGAAGTCTTTGAACTGAACCGTCCTTGAACCCCCCCTGGGAAAATCTGGAACGCCGTGTTGGCTCAACACTTCAAAGCACAATCTTACGGCCCCACAGCGGACTGCTTCGGATTCGCAACGTCGCAGACAAAGCTGGTGTAGGAGTCACCCTTATAACTTATAAGCCGAGCTTTCTAGACGAGGCACAGGGCGATCCGAGCCCAGCCGCGTCGCTGGGCTTCCGTGTCCAATGCCAGAGGACCCTCGCTATCCCGAGCCTCGAAGAACAGGTGCAAGACGAGGACGAGGCGAAATATATCGGCTGTGGTCTGGGTGTGGGGCATGATAGGCCAAGGCCTTTCGGTACTCCGTGTCCAACAGCAGGGGCGGAGGATCCTGCAGAGTATCGGAGAATTCTGAACTGGACGAAGAGGCTAGGAATGGCAACAATTTCTTCAGTCGGCACTGCTACTGTTGTGCTGGTTGCAGCAGGACGAGTGCCACTGCCATAATCATCACTACCTGTCTGTACTGTACATGATCAGATGGTTGTGGTGAGTGTGGTGGTTGTTGTCGCCGCCGCGGCTGCTGCTGTGCTGCTTCGGCTACCTGCTACCAAGCCATACCGCGTTTTCTGGATGGGCTCATGTGAATGGAGCTCCTCGGGGATGGAGATCAGCGAATCCGTGATCACCAAAGTCTTGGAACCTGAGGCTCCATGATTCACAGCGGACGTTCTTCGAGGTTACACGAAGTGCTGAGCGCTGAGTTCTGCCATGCACAGCTGCCCTGGAGCCCTTGGAGTTGCAAGTCTGCACCGCCCTGCAGTATCTGCATGAACTGGCCAGCACATTTTTCGTGTCCCCCGAGCGGAGTGCAGAAAAGGCGAGGTCATCGCACACCTGCTTTAATACACACACACACAACATATCTTAAACTGACAGGACATGGTAGGACCACTGCTCTCGAGCCTCGAAGATTCGCGGCTGCACCTCAACATTGCTCAGTTCTGCGCTGCGAATACTATGTGCACACATCAACATGGTGGAATCTTTCCCTCTGCTGTCAAAGCATGCGCCATTCGGAAATCTGCCTCCAGCGGCGATGCTCCCGCGATGCAATCGAGCCTCGGTCTGGGTCCAAAGCCGACTGGGTCCAGGAGTTGCAGGACGTTCCGAATGCTCCGCTCAACTCAAAGCCAAGGCAAGGTGCAATGCCGCATCCTCAAGAGGGCCCCGCCAATGCGCCCCCAGCAACACCAGAGCAACCTGCCATTCCTCATTAGGCAAATCACTGCATGCATCACATGCCTGTTGGCTGCGCATTCTGGCGAGGCTCTGATCGGCGTGCAGCCGAGCGGGCAGCGGCGTCTGCGAGCAGAGAGGCATCCCTCAGAGAGGACTGGTGGTGACCGACCGACAGCAGCCGGACAGTAAGCTGCCACGGGGTTTCGCCGGCACCGAGGGCCGCGAAGCAGGTCGTGTAAGTTCTCGGACTGGGTTGTGCAGCGAAGCGCGCCAAAGCCTCGAGCAAGTCCACGGAGTGCTGCCAGCGACGGTGCAAGGCACAGGATCCGAGTGCAGCGTTCGTGGCGCTCAGGTAGCTGCGCAAGCTTGCAGGCGACTCCATTATTGCCATCGTGCTGTCCCTGCACCAGGCCACCTCACGTCTCAGCTGTGTCAGCAGCCCCATTGTCAGCTTCCAGTGGCGTCGGCTCGCCGTGAGTACTGTGGACCAGGTCACCGCATCTGGTTCGTGACCGGACTGGCGCAGGTCCCGGAGCATCGCGACGGCCCAGCCCGGCTTGGCTCCCAGCGCGCAGGCTTGCAAGGCGCAGTTGAACTCGAAGACGCTTCGCCTTCCGCACTCCCTTCGGTGGAAACAGCGCAAGGCCGCCTCCCAGCGCTTCAGCCTGGAGTGGCTGTCCATTAGTCCTTGCCGTCAGGTATGTCATGTGCACGAAGGTCAAACCCACACCCGCTTTTGCTGTAAATCGACGGACCTTACGTGGATATGTACGGAGCATGTGGCCCAGTGCCTAAATCCTAATCCCCACGCAAGCCCTGAACCCTAAAACCCTAAAGCCCTAAACCCTCAACCCCACCCTAAAACCCTACATTCCTAAAACCCGAAACCCTCAACCCCTAAACCCTCCTGTCTGGCTGAAGGAGTCCAGCTGCAAGGCCCTCCGCCGGGCCAAAGAGAGCAGAGCCTCCGCCACGGCCCAGCGCCCTCCCTGCCGGGCCTGGGCTGCAGAAGGCTTTGCGCGTTGCCCTGGGCTTGTAGCATGCATACATACGTCATTACAAATGTGTCTGTACATATATGTATACATATATATATATATTTATATATATATATATACATCTGGAGAACTATACGTATAAATAAATAAACAAATGAATGAATGAATGAATGAATGAATGAATGAATAGAATATATATATATGTATATATTTATTTATTTATTATCTATGAAGAGACATATAATACATACATATTGCAAGAGAATGCATTCCAAAGGAAGGATACTGAGATACCGTGGATGATGCTACGCTCCTAAGGCAGGCTATAGCGGACTGGCAGATAAACGGGGAGTCTCGGGACATGGCTGCCTTGCGAATCAGTGGCCACGGAGGCTGCTGCGTTGAAGCCATCGAGGTCAGCCTGCTTGCCGAGCGGGGTGGCAGCTAACCCCGGTACATGTGTCTACATATATATATATACATATGTGTGTGTGTGCGTATGCGTGTATACATATAATCACTTCCCTCTACCATTAAACCCCCCCCCCCAATATAAAAACTGCCGGCCCCCGAAAATTTGCGACAGGCATTTACATATACATGCGCATGTACATATAAATATACACATAGACATGCACCCGCACATGAATGCACATACGCGTATGCATAGGCATAGACATGTACATATACATATACACATATACACATATACACATATACACATATACACATATACACGTATACACGTATACACGTA